TGTGTGTGTGTGTGTGTGTGTGTGTGTGTGTGTGTGTGTGTGTCTTTGTGCATGTGTGTGTGTCTTTGTGCGTGTGTTATGAAATATCACCACAACTTCCCCTACTCCACACAGTAAAAGCCTACTAAAAGGGTAATTATATTTTGTCTGTTCTCTCAACGACGCTCATTCATATGCGTTTACTAGTAGCACACAAGGAGAGGGAGTAGACAACGGGGAGGAGGAAAAAATAAAACTAGAGAGAGAGAGAGAGAGAAAGTGTGTTCAATAGATTTTATACACAGACCGTTGGAGTAGATGGTTGTAGAATGACACGAGAAGTCAATCAGTGTTCGGGTTGCTGGATGAGGTGTAGTTGTTGCCTATGGTAGCTGTTGCTTATGGTAGGTGACCACTCCTGCAGACCGCGCCGCACCGATTCAGGTGCGGACTGTGGAAGCATCGCATTTAATTCTCGCAGTTGCCGTTGCTGCACCGAATGGCACGACGTAGACATATATTGCAGGCAACATGGCTCCAAGGAACACAGAGGCACGCTGGCCGCAATTGCAAAGGCATTGTCGTTCGAGCCCCTCTCTACAAATTGGACATGACATGTCAGGGTGCCGGACGTGAGTGCAATATTGATTGTCATCATATGTATGAAAACAGAAAGACGCACTGCTGTGCCTTCATAATCCTCATGACACAATGCATGCAGCCCACATGCTAGCCGAATCTCGGGTGGATCATCACAGAACGGAATTGAGCATGTGTTTTGTGTTTCCTAGGCATTGATTCCTTCTCTATGGACCCGCCGACTACGACGACTGTGGCAAGAGGGGGTCATCCCAAACCAGGGTGTCTAGCTGCTGCAGGATTTGTTCTGCAACAGTTCGTCCTGGTGGTGTTAGCCCTTCAGCAAAGTGCTCTATAAGCGGCTCATGTGGTTCTCTATTTTCCTGCTCAGCTGGGTTGTTTTGGCGCCTACCACCTACACCTACCGTAGGCGGTAGAAACGCCCACCAATCAGGCCGACCCGTAGGCGGACCCTTCAGCGGTCGGCAGACTGCCTAAATTATTTTAGTTTTTTTTTCTGATTACATGGTCGTGTGCGGCTTGAGGAGAGCAGCCCAAATCCGCAACAATTTTTTGGGGGGCTGGTGGGGGTTATAGGGGGAGGTATAGGGGGGTTATAAGGGCTGCACGGGGTAAAGGGGGGGGTATGGGGGTGTTAGGGGGTGGTATAGGGGTGTTGGGGGGGTGTATGGGGGTGTTGGGAGGGGCTGTGGATGGGGTTATTTGGCTGGACCCAAAAAAATAAAAAATAAAATGTTTTTTTTTTTTTTTTTGCGGGGTGCCTACCGCTCGGCGCCGATGGATCCAGGGCCGCCAACCGTCCGCGTGACTACCCTGCTGCTCAGGCCGTTGAGTTTGCTGTTCGTCAAGCAAGAAAGAAGCAGATCCGATGGCGTTTGCAGTAATTGTATGCCCAACTTTGAGTGTGGGACATGCTAAGAGAGGATGTGGTAGATGATGGCATCGTGGACACTGGATAGTCCACGCAGTAGAGGCACATGCTTTCTATGACAGATTCCTGGAAACATTGATGACACATGGCATGTTGCTGACATGTCACCAGGAAGGCAGGTTGACATTTGCAGCTATTTAAGCATGGCAGATTACGGTCACAACGTCATATTGGGCAGGCGATTAGGGGGTGGGGGGGATGAACACAAGACATAGAGCCACAGCTTTCGCGACAGAGGCTGGTAGTGACCATCCCTTCATAGTGTTCGGCCCAAAGACTACGCATTGTGCATGCTAACCGAACTGTGGCTATGTGGCCACAGAATGGAAGGGCACAGCCAACATCTTCTAAGGAGGTCCTTTCATTGTCTGGAGCAGAATCTGCCCGATCTACACAGGGAGGGGACACTGCCTGGTCATGTGCAGGGGAAGGAGGTAATTGCACATCCGGTTGCTCTCCAAAGACTGAAGCGCTTGCGGGTGCGAAGTAGCATATTGTTCCTGAAGGACAATCCAAATTGAAGTGAGTATTTGCTACTTGGTTATAGAAAGAAATGCTACTCACCGTGTACAGCCAACCTCCATTGTCCCATAGGGCCCATGAATTGTCTGCAAAGGTCACAGCGCTGAAATGTCCTGGCCGATGCATATGTACACACGAATATTTCAGTTCATGCCTGGCATGTTGTTTTGGGGAGCAGGGTGCAGTTGTAGTCTTCTACCCATAAATGTCATAAACAAGACTTTTGTGTTCACTCCAGGACCAATACTATCATCCTCTGGGCAGACAGCACGGTGCTCTTCTTCTATCCAGCGAACAATATCAGCAAAATCAGAAATTGTGTAAGGGTGCATGTATTGTCATATTCGCTATACACCATACTTGCAAGCGGACGTTGTCGGCGCGGTTCCGCACATGCACCGGACCGCCGGACCGGACCCGTGCGGCGCACGAGTGTAGGCCCGACGAACAGTTACCCCCCCCCCCCAAAAAAAAAAAAAAAACGGGGGTCGAAACGACAGGTCCGAGGCCCCTTTGGAAAAATGCGGCCGGTGCCGCCAAAATTTTTTTTGGGCCTGGCTCAAGCCCGGACCGCCTTGGGGTTTCAAAATTTGAAACCCCCGCTGAGGGAAGTACTCACTTCCTGCAGTTGCATTTCCCGCCGTCCTGCCCGTCGCCGTTCGCTACCCTGCTGCGCCGTCGTTGTGCCCATCGCCATCTTGCCTGTCGTTGCTGCCGTTGAGGAGGACCATCGTCGTTGCAGCCATCGAGGAGGAGCAGCCCATCCCGCCCGCCATCAAGGAGGAGCAGCCCATCCCGCCATACTGCTGTCCCCGACGGTGAGTGTCACCAGCCCATCGTCCTCCTCTCCCTCGTCCTCCTCCGCTGCTCCTCCTCCTCCTCCTCCTCCTCCCCCTCGTCTCCCCCCTCTTCTGCTTCT